ACAGACTTTCGTAATCAAACATCGATGTAAATGCATAAATACAATGCATACATACAACATATACCTTCAAAAGAGATACACACTACATGGCAAAAAATGTACATATTGCAATTAATGGTACATCTAAAGCAGCTATATCTAATTTAAAAGAACAAATGTTGTATTCACCACAAAAAATTTCAAAAATCAAATTTATGATTAAAATAATTTTTGAAATCGTCACATGGGCCTAAGAAGCTTCTATTGTTATGATAATTGACTAGTGTGAAACATCTCAAAGCATGCTCATCTTCGAAAAGAGGATGAAGGATGGCTCAATGGAAGTGAAACACCTGATTTCACACATTTTACAAATTTTTCCGCAATCTGAGTAGTTTTAGACACACTTGGTCAAGTAAACCATGAATGATTTTCCTTAAGAGCACGAAGTTCTTCTGTCATTGCCTCCCGCCAACATTCATGCTTGACAGCTTCGGAATATCATGTAGGAATAGGGATGGATGACAAAGTAGCACGAAGAGATGCATGAGAATATCCATACCAATCTGGGGGACGAGAAATTCTGGTAGAACGGCGAGGAATAGTGCCAAAATTCAACTCATTTTCGGAAGATATTGTCTGAGTGGGCTTAGATAGCGGATCAGGCTTAGTAGGGGCCAAAGTTAGGCGTAATCGTTCATACACAAATCTAGGCTTGAACTGTTCAAGAGTAGAAGGTATGTCATCAAAGTGTGGAAGAACATTTATCTCGATCAAAGACCTAACATGAGTTGGAAAGAAGTGCTGATTTTTAAAGAACACAACATGACGAGATATACGAAATCTATTCGAGCCAGGATCATAGCAAACATAACCTTTGTGAGAAATACTATAACCCATAAACGCGCATCTAACAAATTGAATAGAAAGTTCATTGCATTCATGAGGAGGTAAATGAACTAAACAAACACAACCAAATGTATGCATGTCAAGATAGTTGGGATGTTGATGATACATGCGATAATAGGGAGTTTCAAAATTCAGAACACTAGAGGGTAATCGATTAATTAAATAGACCGTCGTAGATAAAGCTTCGACCTAGAATTTAGGTAGAACAAAAGATTCAAGTAATAATGTACGAGTAACATCTAATAGATGACCATTCTTACGTTCAATAACACCATTTTGTTGAAGTGTATAAGGACAAGAACGCTAGGAGACAAAACCTTTTTTTTGAAGGAAATCATGAAACTTATGAGATATATATTCACTTCTTGAATTAGATCTTAATACCTTAATGCTCAAAGAGAATTGAGTCTCAACATATGCAATAAATTATTGAAAGACAAAAAATACTTCAGATTTGGAACGAAGAAAATATATCCACGTATACTTGCTATAATCATCAATGAATGTAACAAAGTATTTATAGTGCGCATGAGATATAACTAGAGACATACCCCACACATCACTATGAACCAAATCAAAACTTCGTTCAGCCTGACTACCATGAGGAGTAAAGGAAAGAGACTCTCTTACCTAAATTACATGTGGAACATTCAAGAGAATTATGAGGTGAAAATTTATCTTTATTGCCCAATAAATCAAAGTTAATTAAATGAGATTGAATTGGATTAGGATAACCCAACCATTTGTACCATATTCTACCCTTATTGTTAACATTAGTACAAGCCATATATATAACAGGAGGAATGGAAAAGTGTAGAGGAAATAATCGATCAATTTTAGGCCCCTTCGTGAGTATCTTCCCCGACACCTAATCCTGTACAAGACAACCATCACGAGAAAATCGAACATCACAGTTATTATTAACCAACTAGCCTACAGATATAAAACTAATAGAAAGTGCAGGGGATGCAAAAAATCGCTAACAGAGAGATTAACATCTCCAATAGCATGAATATGTAATTGATTTCCATTAGCAATCTGATTGCACAAGGATCCTTTATATGTCCGTATATTGCTAAGAGTATCAGGGGAACTAGTCTTTGGCTCGAAAAAAAGTTAATTTGGATAAGTTAGACCAAAGTTATTAAAGTTTAAAAAAGTTGTCTTTATCAAGATTTGCTCATTAGTTAGGTGATTGGTGCCACACGTGAGTGGCTACAACTACAATTGCTTTTCCATTATATTCTATCTTATTTTATTGCACCAGAATCAACAAACCATGATCATAATGGTAGGGAGCCATTACCTTGTATACCCAAGGCTAAAAAAGCTCAAATAATCATAAGTTCAACTATCACTGGAGTGACAGCATATGAATCACTGCCAGTGGAAGAGAAAGGACCAACTGTAGGCATTAGCCTGAAGATTTTGAGGATAAGTAGGACATTCTTTGACAGTATGCCTTGGCTTTTTGCAGTAGTTGAAATACTTCTTCGCACAGTGGGCTACAATATGTCAACATTCCTTACAGTTAAAGCATTGAACTCTTCATGCCTCTACCCTTGCCTTTCCTTAGAGTGGCATAGGCAAGTACATTAGTTGGCAGTTTGTCTTCCTAAGAAGTAGCTGTGTAGCAAAACGTTGCTCTTCCCAAAGTAACTCCTCGAAGCATACATCCAAAGAGGGGAATGGATTGCGATTCATCAAATTAGATCGAGCTACCTCGAATTCAGGTCGCAACTTCATCAAAAATCGATCTCTTTTGCTTTTCCGCGAACCTCTTAAATTGTAGCAAGTGAACCATCTAATATCTTTGCATAAATTATGTCAACATACTCCGCCCATAAGTTCTGAAATCCAGAAAAATATTCCTAAATAGAAAGACCGCCTTGAGTATAGCTAGCAATGTTAGACTCCAATTGAAATCGTCGGGCTATATTATCCTAATGATAAACTTCTTCAAATATTCCCACATACTTTTAACATTCTTATACGGCCTCAAATTCAAAATAATCAGAGGATCAATAGACCCTAAAATTTAAGCCATAACTCGAGCACCTTTAATCTTCCATTTTGAGAGCTGAATCAATCCCATCTATATGACCTCATAATTCCTTCCACGTAACAAAAAGTCGAAATTGAAATTCCCAGACAGAATAATTCTTACCCGTAAATTTCACACCAAAGAAATCTGAAGTCCCAGTAGACATTATAAAATAAAAGGCCTAATAGCTCACAAGCCCAATTCAAACAATGATTTTAAGGTCCAATTCGAACAATGAGCTCAATCAAATAAAATAAATCAGCCCAATAAGAAAAGGCCCAATTTTAAATATAGCCCAACACAAGAACCAATTTTAAATAGGCCCAATTCTATTACTCAGCCTAGTACTTCAACACTGGCCCAATTACAAATTAATAACACAGAAACCAATTTGCAGGCTTATTACCTTCATTCCTCAAGCTCAATTGATCCTCCGTCGTTCGCGAAAAGAGATTGCTAACACTGAAGTCGCTGAAATCTGTCGATTTTATGAAGATGCCGACAACATTGATGGGCGATACCGGACTCGGCGACACAGAGGGATTCACGTCTGATAGTAGTGAATCCCGACAGCCGAATCAGCGATAGAGAAAAGCTCGTCGACACAGAGACTCCACAGAAATTAGCGGATACCACGATGAAGTAATTCGTCAGGTGAGTCCAAAACTAAGAATTGAGCCTTATTGTAGAAGAGTCCAAGAAAATTTTCTAACCCAAAGAGTCCTCTCAGATCGAGGGCTCTGATACCATGTCAAAACACAATTTTTTTCAGTTTTGAGTACCTCTCCCTTTGAGAGTTGTTCTCCTTAAATAGATAAAATATGGCTAGTTACAAGGCTGTAGCCGTTACACAATTCCTGCTAGTTATGTATAGAATATACATCTTATTGCTAGCTATGTATGGAATATACAAAATATACAGAATCATATCCTACTAAAAAACTTGAGCTTTCATCAATTTCAAGAATTGAAAATTAAGCGATAAAGCCTAGTGGGAACAAAATTTTTGGCTCCAAAAAGATGGAAAACTGTATAAATAAATCATAAAATCACTTCCATGATGGATGGCTTGATGAAAGAGCAACACCCGATTTCATGCATTTCACAAAATTTCCACAATCTGCGTTGATTCAGACTAACTTGGTCGTGTAAACTCAATTTTTGTGTGAATGTGTCTACATTGTATGACTCCATATGGTTATTTTATACACACTACACTGATAGGAATGTGTTTCTACAGTGTATGATCAGTTATGGTGATTTTACCCACTCTGCACTATTGTGAATGTGTTTTTATAGTGTGTGACCAGTTATAGCCTTTGGACAGCTCTACGCGCGCATGACCAGCATTTTAGTATTTCAGAATTACAGAATTAAATAGCTTTGCCATGTATATCAATATTAATCAATACATGAGTAAGGTTATTTTGGGTACCTTTTTGGTGTGATTTTTCAATATTATACAGCTTATCAAATTTATTAGACAACAGAAGTTAGCTTATTCAGTTTTCAGAGTAATGATTTCAGCTTATATTACTGTGAAAGGATATTTTCACTTATATTTACTGATATCAGATTATTTATATTTATTATACCTTACAGTTTCTTGTCTAGAATTAAGAATGAAGAATTTTATGATGCAATCATGTGTTAGTTTTATAAGTGTTACTAAATTTCAGAATTTCTCAAAGTTTATGGAGTAAGAATTTTCAAAAAATATGCATAAATAGAAAAAATATACTCATTTGCAAATTATCCACTCACTGAGCTATAAACTCATATATCTTTTCATCTTTTACTTCACCAAATACCAGCCGAGTTAAGTAGCTTTGGAGCCTGTCGATCCACCGAATTGAGCCACACATCATTAGTTGTATAACCTACTTTATCAGATTATATAGTACATGTTTCTTTTAAGTTACATGTAGCTTATGTCAGAAAAGGTTATCATGGGCTCACTGCATATTTGGTATCTTTAGTATATTTGAGGATTGTTGGTTGTAAAGCAAGTAAATATCAACAAAATTTTATTTTGAATAGTTAGTATTTTGAGAGACTGGAGTATTGTATTTTAAATTATATGTACGGGTTATTTCAAATTGATATATGCTCAAGTGGTTTTAGTTCATATTTCAAGGAAATCTAGATCAAAATTCTACTAAAAATGTTTTTTAGTAAAAGCAAGTCAAAATTGCGCTAGTGGTGGGTCCGACGTTTAGTTGGTATCTACCATCAACGCACGACATGTATCGAGTCTATTAAGGTGATTCAGGACGATTGTGTCAACTGGTATCAGAGCGAGGTTCGGTGATTGTTAAGCTTGAGTAATTCATGAATTTCTTTTTCAGAATAGCATGTCATCAAGAGTGTTGGTCATGTGGCGTGGTGGCGGAACTCACAAGCTCTAATGTTGTATTTGAAACTCATATTGCAACTAATAGCGAAGATATGGCAACTAAGACATTAGAAGGATCTTTATTGATTTGTGCATAATAAGTATGAGGACGTTATTGAGAATTATCCGATGGTAAGGAGAGTTGTCATGTTAGTGCTATTTATATATTCTCTTATATATTAATAATTGTGCTATATATCCAAAAGGCAGTTAAGCAAAGAGTAGAACTTTTCTTAGTAATGGAAAGCACAACCACGCAAGTTAGTTTTATAGGGTTATGAATTTATTTATGACTATTAGAGGAAATGTCTTGCAGATGCGTTGAATGATTAGTATTATATAATGTTGATATATTTATAGTTGGTGACATTACAAGGTGAAATCATGATTGCTTTGTAAATCTAAATGATTGAATTATTGTGGGAGTTTGTAATCATATTTATTTAGTATATAGAGGAAGATGCATACATTAGAAAATCAAGATGTGGAGATATATTAAGGAATCTTGTTCATGACATAAATAATGAAACCGTATGAAATGTTGATTCATGACAAAAATGATGTTACTGAATATGTTTTACCTTGCGATTTTAAGTAAATTAATGTGACCGTGGTCCTACATTTGTTGATTCAGGAACAATTAAGTATCTAGGTCTGTACTTCAACTACTATTGAAGGAAATATTAAGGGTTCGATTACTAGGTTTGGGTGTATGAAAATATGTTATGATGAATGAAAAATGAGAGAACATATTCCTTACAGATTCAGAAATGACTAGTATGTAAATATATTGGTTGCAATGATTTAAAGGTTGACAATGTTATAAGTTGTTGGGCCGGTACAGAGATGTATGTAACCTAGTACTCGATAGAGTGCAACAGTGAACAGATATCAGTTTGGAATTAAAGATTTAATGATTTTGTAGGTTATCTATCTATATAGATTTGAAGGAATGGGGTACACAGTTACCTAAGTATCAAATTATGTGTGAGATTATATAAATATTTATATATATATATATATATATATAGCACGATAAATAAAAGGGAATGATATTATGTGAAATTGATGACAATCATATGAGAAATCTTAATTATCCAAGGAAGCTACATGATCGTTAGCATCATCGAAGATTTTAGTGATTTGTAGCCACTCGTATGGCAGGATGATAGAAATTACGGTGATGTATATCTATATACATGATAAGAATCTCGTGGAGGATAAATGATAATATTATATTGAATAACGTTCAAGAAAATAATGTGCTGTTATGCATCGAGGAAATTGACATTCATGTAGCTCCGATCATTTTGATTATTTATAGGTTATTTGATTATAAGAGATATAAGAAAGATATGGATAGATTTCACAAGGACTACTTATCGCGGGATAAATTGTTCTTGAAGGAAGAGAATTATTGGATAGGTAAATTTATGTAAATTAGGGAAAACGATATGAATGGAGTGAGTCAAAGAAATACATTTTGATTTTCATTCTTGAAATACAGTAAGAGGAACATGCATTGAAGAATAAAGAAAATGAAGAGAGTGATTAGCATATCATCTTCCTCATATAAGCATGTATGGTTTGGAGAATGAAATGTAAATTATAGAATAAGAAAGAAGAAGAAGAATAGTAAAGAACGGTAGAGTTGAATGATGGAGATTGAGATAGTAGAATACGAAATATGGGTGGTAAATTGATGTGTGAAGGGTTCGTGTGATAAATATGAAGGTTTTATTTCGTGATCGTAAGGAAAATTGATATAGTTACATGTATTAGGTCATACGATATAACAATAAATGACAAGATTACATGATCAGGTGAATAGTTAGTAAAAGAAAATTTATGGTTGTCCTATAGTAATATAATGTGATGAGATATTTGGGATATTAAGTTAATTAACTTTGTCACGGCTTTCAGTTGTATTATTATGTCATATTACATACCATTAGGAAGCTTCAAGCTAAATTTTGAAGTCAATGTGAATTTAATGAATTTTTAGTGTAATTTTTTTGGTTATGTTCCAATGTATCTTTGGATTTCACGAATAAAATATTCTATTCTTATCAAGATCTATTAGCTATGGAATGTATGGATGATATGTTGGATAGTTTAAAGCTAAGGTGATCATCAAACGTAAACTTTACTTGATTGTGTAAGTGGTATTTTTTGGTTACATTATATTAATTACAAATCTTTGTGTAATATACAAGAAGGCTTATATATTGGTAATAGTCAATGACCTCTTTATGGAATAAGGGTATAGAATTATCATTGATTAAATGTTGTTATTGTCTCTTCATAGAAAGAAAAAAACACCAAAAAATGGAGCGGGTTTAAGGATGTAAAAAATTTCGCTATCAAATTAAATTCTGAAGGAATATTTACTTTTGTATCTAAAGTTGATGAGGGTTTGATTTATGATAATGGATTATATTGAGGCTTCGAAAGTGATCTAAAGTAAAATGAGGAATTATGAATTATACGATAGATTGTAGAAGAGACATGATTAAAACATAATTTAGAGTTGGTTATATTGGGGATTGAATTTAGGAATTGTGGTGTCATCCCATTGCGATTAATATCGATACATATTGGTTACCTGAGTTTAAGGTATATTTTATTCAAAAGAATTGTAATTGAAGTTGTGTATCTTATTTTTGGGTGATATAGAATTAAAGGAAAAGAACATCATATTGAGCTATCTCAATTGTTATTGGGGATAGCTAGAATTTTAGAAAATCATGAACAATTGAATTTTTGTAGGCATTGTCTATTTAGAATGGAAGTACTTACTCTCAAATATTTTTCATTTGGGGTTCCAAGTATATAGAATGGAGACAAAATGGTATTTAAATCATTGTTGACAGATCGATAAAGGTTACAAAATTCTTTTCAAATGATATAGCCAGTTCATGAGGTAGATTTATAAAATTTTATAGATTTCTTTGACTTAGTTGTAGGGAGTTATATAACTAAATTATTTTGTGCAGTTTCTTTTAATCGAATGTCAGACTCCATGAAGCAAATTCAGAAAAGAGGCTATCAACTATGGTTTTTTAATTAAAGGGAACTTGGACAATTTTTTTTTTTTCATGAAGGTAACATATAAGAAATAGATACAAGTAATGACAATTGATGTTATATATGATATTGACATATTCCAAAAACTTGTTATTGGGATGAAAGATTCAAAAGAAAGTTATTAAGTCAATTACTACAGAGAAAGACTTTGATAAGAGAATAGTTTAAATCATGACATAGGGTGAAGATCTGGAGAACATGAAAAGTAGTATCTTGAACTTTAAGCCCTCGTTTGGCCCCTTTTAAAACTCATCAATTTAATTTAAATTTCTCTCTCCTATTTTTAACCACACAATCTTCAATAAAATAATATTTCACATAAATCAAATTTTTTTTTCTTTTACAACCATCCATTTTTCAAAAAAATACTATTCCCCCATTATAAATCCAAATAACGAGGGCCAAACGGGGGCTAAATTGGGAAATGATTAAATTTCTAAGAATTGCTAAAACGAAAAGTTGAGAACATCATATATTAGTCTTCGAGATGTTATTTAGAACTTGGGTAAAATTGTTTAATGATGGATTTTACAATGGATATATCTCGTATTTAAGAATATATGGTCCATTTCAAAGGCTTAGTAAGTAAATGTCAAATTTATCTGGTACTTCTAAATTACTAGTGAATTTAAAGAGAGCTCAACCAAGAAAAAACCAAATAAGATGCAAGATATGAAAGAATGAAAGAGTGTCTAGTTAAAGGTTGCTCGAGAAACCATTCATTATGTGTGTTTTATACCTTTATGTATTTGAATTCTAGTTGACTGCATTTCGAGAACGAAATTCTTTGAAGAGGGTAAGATTGTTACACCTCACTCATTATAGTCAAAGTCAAAAATTCTATTGGTCAAAGTCCAGAGTCAAACGAGGACATGAATTAAGTAAAATAATTTCACGGGGACTTGCATAAGCAAGTGGTACTTGAGGAGGCTAATTTGTGAGTATAAGAACAAATAGGCAAGTTTTAAATTAAATGGAAGCATAAGGGTTTAATTGCAAACTATGGGAAAGTTGAGGGCCCAATTATTAATAATTTCATTGTGTCCAATTGTTAAATTGAGATAAGAACCCTTTTTTTTCATTTCCTGGGAGAGAAATCGAGAAGAATCGAGAAAGAGGTAGAGAAAAGGAAAGAAGAGAAAGAAAAGAAGAACAAAAGAAAGAGGAAAGAAGGGGGAAGAGGTAGGTGCCCAAGTTTAGATTCTCAATTCCTCCTTATACTCGAACTAAGTGAAAACATTTTAATTAAATTTCTAGGCATTGTCACGGATCAAGTCAATATAAATAAATCATAAAACCACTTCCATGAAAGGTAATTTGAGTCGGTGCATTATCACCTGCCCATGTTTATCCCAAGAAATGTCTCCAGCCTGTCTCTGAACTGCAGCAACTTCAGCCTTGACATCCGAAAATCCCATATCTGGCCATATTCCTCATCTTCTGACTCCGAAAACCTGTAAGAATCTGTTAGGTGGAGTCCAAAAGTAAGTAAAGCCCTCATTGCATCTTCCGTTGGTCCTACTCTTTCCAAACACTCGGAAAGTAAGAAAGCTTGGTCCTTGATGGTGGGCAGTAATGTCTTTATCTCATTTACTCCTTGGGCAGAAGATAACCATTTAGATTTCAACACTTCATCTTTGTCTAAATTATGTCGATCAGCAAAGTCAAGAGCTGCCTGATAACTTCGGTCAGTAATTAATTTATCATACATTGCAGGAACAGATATTTCAGAAAATGAAACTAAGCTCCATCGCAGTTGGGAAAAATCGAACTGGTTAGATTTATCTACCGTGACCTGTTCAACAGCACTAGTGCCCTTGCGCTCGGATATTTCGTTGCTCTCCTCAGATGAAGTATTCTCTAAAAGGAAAATATGCCCAGGAAACTGTCGTGCTCTTTCTAAAAGGGGTATTGAATATACAAGATCATTCTCTGGCAATTTGACACGAGTAAGAATTCCAATCATAGTGATGATGCCATTTCTTTTTGCAACAGTAAGGACGTTATTAGACCACCAAGTAAAATCAACTATATTGTTTATGAATTCTGCGCCACTACTTGACATCTCAATTACAACCTCTGTGTTATAGCTCTTGCCAAAAGATAATTTTGAAAGAGAACGCTTCTCTTCATCATATTTAAACACAAAGAAGTGTCCTCGCATATCCAGAGTAGCAACAAAATTTCCTTGTGGAGAGAGTAACACCTTTGAAGATGTCAATTGACCAAGATAAGCAGTTGGTAAGGAATATAAACCTTCAAATTGAGTAAAGGTAACTGGCTCCATATCCAAGTTCCTGTTTATTCGCCAAAGAGAAACAGAACAAGATCCTGGTGCAAAAAATATTTAAAAAAAATATATAAAATGGACAAAATAGCACGTGCTTTCAAGAAAGAAAAGAATCCATCCCTTCTCTCTTATTTTTTTTACAGCATAATGAATGAATATGTTTCTGATAAATAAAAAGACTTTCATTACAAAATTTCAGGTCTCTAAAGATTTATTTACTTAGTTCTCTAAATGACAAACATATTTGTGTTTGGAGCAAACAATTCAACTGCCACCCCAAATCAATTGCTAAAATTAGAATACTGCACAGTGTAAACAACTTTTTGGTCACTACTTCAAGAAACTTCACAACACTCTCTCTCTCTCTATCTCTCTCTCTCTCTCTCTCTCTCTCTCTCTGTGTTTTTGGGTTTGATAGGAGGTTAGGTTAACAATCAAATTAAATATCATAATGCCTTCTCAGGCTTTTCGCTGACACAGAGATTTCATTTTCCCCTTTTTTACTGGAACAAATCCCTTCAGAAGCCCAACTTTAAATTGTGATAAAAGTTCCAAGGGAATTGCTGCAGAGTCATTAAAATAGAACAAAGAGTACAAGCATACCAGTGCTCCCATTAGATGTCGATTGGATATCTCCAGCACTACTGATTAGAGCAAACAAAGAAAGGTTTGGATGATAATCCAAGCAGAAAACATTCTGAGGGAACTGCTTTGAACTCAAACTGTGAGCAGACAAAATGGAGGCACTTGGATCCTTGCTGATCTCTATATCATGCATTGAACCATCTGATATTAGAACACTGAATGTGCACCTACAAAAATGGTTTCATCTAGTAAAGTCAAAACGTATGAAGAGGCTAGGCCAGTGCAAATATAAAACATAATCACTGAAGAGAAAAACCTCAAATAAAACTTCAAACACTCACAAGCAAGATTTCTTCATATAAGTGTCGTCTAGCACAACCAAGCCTACAATTGGTAAAGAGGCATTTAAATGCCTCTTTGTGACTCTGGTTATTTCTTCCCCATTAGCTTTAATGAAATAGAGTGTATCAGTATCATCAGCAACTCCAAGGACCTCATGAGCTTCTGACCAAGTTCCACATGTGAAAGTGCCAGCATTCCCACCTACCCGGGTCAAAACCAGCACGGAAGGTAAATAATTTACAGATAGCACAATCCGAACTTCACCATTTGATTAGCACGTATATTATGCTTCAAAAAAGTTTTAGCAATAAAATTACACCTTATGCAGCAATACTACCAAAACCCATATTCCCATGTGATGCAATGTAGATGAATCAAGTTACTTTGTACAGAACATTTATTCAAATTAATTTTAACTGAAACATAAATCTTACTGTTGAACATTCCAACTGGCTCCTGGTAGTCATCATCCTTTCGCAAAATTATTATTTGATCTCCAGAAGCTACAGCAACATGGTCACCTCTTGCAGTGACGTACAAGGATACTAATCGTCTTAATCTTCTCGGCTGCCTATATTCACTCCATTTCTCTTTTAGTTGAGTAATGCCTTCCGGATATAGGAATAGAATGTTGCATAGGTAAGAATCGATTAACATAGATGCAATGACCAATATGGCATAAAAAATCAGCTAAGCCCATAAAACTAAGAAACTGATAGTAAAACTGTGTAAGAAGAGGATAAAGATATATTTCTTTATTATACAGAGTGACAATTCTCTTTCCAGACAAAACAGTGGCAAGAATAAAATGAATTCACTCCAACATTAACTGAATTTAAGTCCACGATCAAAAAAAAAAAAAGAAGAAGAAGAGGTACACATTTAAAACCAGTGAAAAAACATAATCACCTCGAATTGAAAGATATGAAAGTAAACTCCCCCTGCCACCTTTGTTCAGCTGAAATCATCAAAATTAAGTAATTGAATTGACAAAAAAAGGGGGAAAAATCAGAGAAAATGTAATTCTACCTTAAATATAATTCAGTAAAAAAAAAATTGTACCTGCTGTTGAGGGGGATAATTGGAGGAGAAAGGTCTGGAAGCGTGACTACGAGTCTCGAAAAGGACTTCTCGAACTGATTCCTCCATGTATAAATGTATATACCTACAATTTGTAAATAACAGCTAACTTTTCGTGGGTTTTTCGTCAAGATCTCAAACCCTTAGCCCCCAAAAAGTGCACGGAATTTTCTGCATAACGTTGGATAGAGAGAGAAGAAGAGAGAAATCGTGGGAGACGTCGGTTTCGAGATCGAGGGTCTAGCGAGGAATTCCGAATTTCGTTGAAGAGGCACGGTTCAGCTAATCTCTCTCACTCTAAAAATGATAAAAGAGAGGCACTATTCATTTTGGAAATCCCTTTTCACACACGTATCCGGTTTGTCCCTCTCTTCTCTCTTCTCTTTCACTCGTAAAAGAGAGGACGCAAAAATGGGGGATTTTTAAAAAAGTCCTTGTCAAGCCAAAGCTTTTTTAGACCTAACTTACTCCAAATAAGTTTTTAAGGTCTCTTTTAAATTAAAATGTCTAAACTGTCATTTCTATATTGTTGATATATCTCAAATGCTATTAACATAAAATGATCATAATACCATTTCTTCAAACTTTCTGGAAAAAGTAGTAAATGGAAAACGACTTTTCTCAAAAAAAAGATCAGTCGTTTTTCATATCTCAAAGGCTTGTGATATTTGCAAAGCCTATTTGTAAAAGAAAAATGACTTAGATAATTTTAAATTACTGCAGTTATTTTATACAAAAATGACTTAAATCGTTTAAAATGATCAGAGTCATTTTCTATTTATCTCTCAAATTTTGTTGACATCTTGTCTTTTATTATACATGATGATTTAAATTATCCAAAATCAATTGTAAGTTATAAACTCAAAAGTTGAATAAGGTATACTTGAAAAGTATATAATGAAATACGATGAATAGTACATAACAAAGTTCGTCTTCCTATGTGTTTTCGAACAAAATAGGTTGAAATTAAACACGGTCTAAAAGGTTAGAAGTTTGATTGTCATCTCATCTTTCATTATACCCGATGGATTAATTTATCGAATTAATTGTAAATCATGTACATAGGAATCGAATATGTTCTACTTGAACATTGTGTAATGGAGCATAATTATTAAGTTCATCTTCTTATATGATTTTAAACGAAATAGGTTGAAATAAAACACTGTTTAAAGGTTCTCTAATTATACATAATGATTTAGTTTATCGAAATCAATTGTAAGTTGTATACTTACAAATCGAATATCGTAAACTTGACCGCTGTACAATGAAGCATTATAAATTATATATAATGAAATTCATCTTCCTATATATTTTTAAACGAAATAGCTTGAAATCAAACATGGTCTAAAATGTTAGAAGTTTGATTGACATCCATCTTTCATTATACATGATAGTTTAACGTATCGAAATCAACTGTAAGTCCTATATTTAAACATCGAATACTGTATACTAAAAACAACGTGTAGTCAAACATGATGAATTATCTATAATGAAATTAGTTTTTCTATTTGTTTTTAAACGAAATAAGTTGAAATCCAGCATGATCTAAAATGCTAGTAGTTCAATTGACATCTCAGTTTTCATCTTACATGATGGTTTAAATTAATAAAATTAATTGTGAGTCATATACTTAAAAATCGAATACAATATACTTGGACATATGTATAGTGAAGAACAATGAGTTATATATAACAAAGTTCATTGTCCTAGACGGTTCTAAATGAACTGAAATCATCAAGGTCTAAAATGTTAGGAATTTGATTGATATCTCGCTTTCATTATACATGATAATTTAACTTATTGCAATCAATTGTAAGTCGTAAAACACGATGAATTATCTATACGAAGTTCGTCCTCCTATATATTTTTAAACAAAATAGGTTGAAATCAAGAATGATTAAAAATGTTAGAAGTTTAATTGACATCTCATTTTTTATTGTACATGATGATCTAAAGTTTGAATGACATCTCCTCTTTTATTATACATGAGGGTTAACTTTTTGTAATCAACCTTAAGTCGTATAATTAAAAATCAATTACAATATACTTGAACAATGTATAATGGAGCACGATAAATTATAAATAAGAAATTCATCTTCATATACATATTTAAACGAAAAACATTGAATGTTAAAGAAATAGATACCAAATTTAATCACAAATTCATAGAAACAAGACTAAGTCTTTCGAAGCGACTCCAATCTTTTTAAATGACTGCAATCGTTTATTTTAAAAATGGCTACAGTCTTTTAGACAACTAGAGCTGTTTTCATAAAACGACTTCAATCATTTGAAAAAGATAGGAGTCTTTCTAAAACAATTAGAGTCAACGATCAATATTTTTGAAAAAAAAGAAAGAGAGAGAGAAATCATTGTCATTTCCCTTGTAATATTAAATAAACTGACATGAAAAATAAACCAACATTCACAAAACACAAATTTCAAAGTAAATTGGGTATCGACCACCACAAAAAACTCAAATTTTCAACACGCATTATGATAAGTTTGAAAGTAAATTGGATATCATGCAAGAAATTTTAAATCATACGTTTCTTAATTTCCTCTCTTGAAGTAAAAACTACCCATGTTTGGGCTCCATTATTCCACATTTTAATAAGTGGAATAGTAATTTTTTGGAGAATGTATAGTTGAAAAATAAAGAAAAGTTTTTATGTTTACATATAATATTATTTTATTGAAGACCGTGTGATTGATAAGAAAAGAAAGAAAAATGAATTTTAAATTAATGGGGGCCAAACAGGGGCTAATTGTACATTTTTTCCTATTTTCTTAGCTATACTTATCCACAAGCCCAGTAAGGTTTCTTATCTTACACATAAAAAGTTAGTTACCACTTGAGAACGAAAGATTTAAGTAAAAATGCATATGTTTCATTCACATGCGTGACTTCTTGTTCTACATTTCTTTTGAGATCGAGGTACGAAATATTAAATTTAATAACTACACAAAAGATTGATGGACATTGCAAAACTATTGAGTTTGATTAAAAAAAAGGGATGAATGTTGCCTATTCATCATGACATATCAAATTCAATAACTGATAACATGGTTTAGCTATTAGAACAAATGCTAAAGAGCATAATTGCACCGCTAAAAATGACATAAAGACAATATTAATTAGAATAAGCAAATTTTGAGGCTAGGGATGCATACTGTTGACGAGTAACGAGGGTTCAATGTGCATAATCAACACAAGACTAAAGAAGGGTAGAGAAAAAAAAGTGACACCTCTATTATCTGCCCCAACAGATGATGTGACATCAAATTAGCTTGGATAATTATAAATCTGACCAAATTAAGGATAAATCAATCCACCTTACACAACAAAGAAACCGTCTTCGTCGCATTAAAAACTTGAATGCTTCATTGGTGCTTTCTATTTATGCAAGATTGTTAGTATGAGAACGGAACTCATCCCTCTCAGAGTGAGCCACTTGTATACCTACTAACACATTTGCATCAGCTTTTAGAGACATTGAATTCGGTCCATTAAGAAATAGTAGCAGCAAAAATGGCATCATTAGTGTATGCACAAAAATGATACTAATCATGAAGACAAGCTAGGAGATTGTAACCGTCCCCTTTAGGGGAAGAATAAGCTTATATTCCAACATGGACCTAGAGCATCCAAGAATTTCATCAAAGCTCTTGGTCTCTTTGGGGAAAATAAAATGACAAAGAAACTCATTCTTAACATTTGATTGGTCTACTATCTGAAAGATATCCAAATTGAAGTAAGCTTGGAAACTGATTACTTAACGAGTTTCATAATTGTGCTATCTATGTAGAAGACAAAAGAAATTCACCTTTTCAGTCAAGGATCTAAGTGTCAACACAAACAAGTATCAAAGATAGCCAATCGTTTTGTTCTTTTTTACAAGTGTGGCTTTAGCGTGCCTTCATGTTTACTAGGCATTTTGTTCTAATCCACGAGAATTGCTACAGTAATCAAGCAAGAAATTTTAAATCATGCTTTTCTTATGTTCCTCTTTTAAAGTAAAAATTAATGGTACCTTTATTCCTATTTTCTTAATAATGAAACTTCCATTATTCCTTTTTCTTAGTTATCTTAAAATTATTTGATTCACTAGACTTTCCAACAATTCAAATTGTCTTCTTTGTCAACTCATCTCTTCTACTTCATTAAAACCTTTGTTTCATCTAATATCCTTAACTCCTCCAACAGAGAAAGCTCATATCATCAATCATATACACCAGACAAAATTCATTTCATCAGTGCAGGGGAAAGGAAAATCAATATGCAAAAGATAAACCCTAGAAAAATACAATTGCCTACAATTCAATATTAGGAATGATATAAGTTGAATTTAAGAGAGAAAATAAGACAATACAAAGAGAAGAGAATTGTATTGAATAGTGTGATTTGTTTACAAGAGAGGTATCCTATTTATAGCTTATTTTGAGAGGAATGTTTTCCTTTCTAACCAATGTGGGACTAACTAACATTTACATTGTATATACATTAACAACCCCTTCAAACTCAAGGTGGTAAAATAGAGACCAACTTGAGTTTGGAAACTAAATCCTCAAGGCGTCCAGGAGGGTGCGTTTTAGTGAAGATATCGGCAGTTTGATCGGCTGAAGAAACTGATAATAGTCCAATAGTCCCACGGCTGAGATGATGACGTATAAAGTGACAATCAATTTCAATGTGTTTTGTGCGTTCATGGAATATATCATTGTGAGTAATTTGGATAGCACTTTGATTATCGCAGTTTATGATAGTGGCAGTAGAATGAGTGACGCCCATGTCTTCAAGTAACCAGCGAAGCCAAAGAAGTTCCTGAGTTGTATCAGCAAGGGCTCGATACTCAACTTTTGTATTGGATCGAGCAACTACTGTTTGTTTCTTGCTGCGCCAAGAAATAAGAAAATCACCAAGGAAGAAGCAATACCCAGTGGTAGATCTACGATCAGTGGGGTTACTTGCCCAATCTGTATCTGAGTGACACGAAGCTCGAGTGAAGAGTGAGATGAGAAGTGGAGACCACGAAATAGGGTTCCTTTGATGTACCTGAGAATGCAAAGCACTACAACATAATGGGATGTGCGAGGAGCAGAGATAAATTGACTGACAATATGGACATCATAAGAGATGTAAGGGCGAGTAACTGTAAGATAAACAAGACTACCAACCAACTGGCGAAACAAGGTGGGGTCATCCAAAGGTGTACCATCCATGGGAGTGAGTTTAGAGTTGAGCTCTAGAGGAGTGGTACATGTCTTACTATCTGTGAGTCCCGCTCGAGTAAGAAGATCAGAAGCATACTTTGCTTGCGAAAGATAATATCCCTCAGAGTTAGAAGTGATCTCAAGTCCCAAAAAGTAACTAAGCTTTCCAAGATCTTTCAT